CATCGGGCCCGTGTTGGCTGCTGAAGACCGGACGGGCTGGCCGGGGACCTGGCCTGCCCTGAGCCATAGTGAGACTCTGGGGGAGGATCGGCTCATGCTTTGCAAGCTGGTGCGCTTGCCGGGGGTGGCAAGGTAGGTTGGGTGGGTGGCCGCGGGAGGTTGACTCCTGTTGGATAATGCGCTGTGCAGGAGGGAGGGAGGGAGGTAGGTGGTCACTGGTGACGGGAGCCGATCCGGGGTATGAGGGGTGAGCCGGAGTGAGAGAGAGAGCTGCACGGCGAGGGATGGGCCGAGGGGGGGGATGGGATGAGCGGGAGGGCGCGTGATGCTGCGAGGGTACTGTACTGTTGTAGGAGGCGGGATAGGCAAGCGAACGGACGAACGGACGAACGAACGAATGGGCGTGGCAATTGAAGATGGGATATGTGGAATTGATGGGCAGGCAGGTCGCTTCTGGGATGTGGCATTGTGGATGAAGAGTGTACATGACCCCCAAGGGGCTCGGGTTGGTGGTGGTTAGATGCTCCTCCAACACCCGAGCAACGTTGGAGCAGCCAGAGTTGTTGCAGGGTATTCGGGAGCATCGCACTCGGTCCATGAATTGGTCTAGGGTTTTGCCGGGGCAGAGCAGGATGAGCTCCGTTGCGACGGGATGGGTGGATTGTTGAATTGGAGTACCAAGTAGTATACTTTGTACAGGCATTGATGATGAAGCTGGATATGGAATGAGTGTCCGTCCGTCTTGCGGATACAGCACCGTAATGGTCGAGCGATGGTGACGGCGGAGTGGGTATAAGTCGTCCAGCGAAGCACGGCACAGCAAAGCACCCTGCTCACCTGCTGGTGCCCCCAAAAACGTGAGCGCGGACCACCTCGTCAGTTGCCACGATGAAAACCCACACCCAGGCTGGCAGGGAGGGTTTCTGCAGCTCGCCAATCTACAAAGTCTGTCATATCGTACGTCTTCCTTCGCATACGCACAACAACTATCGCAAGCCGTTGGGGGCGGGATATTAATCTCCCCCCTCCCGCCTGCCTTCAGTCACTGAGTCTGTTGCTCGAGCCACGCGAAAGGCATGTGTGCGCATGTGCGAGCACTGTACTGTACTGTACCGTATGCGCGACAGTGCATGTCGTGAGAGTGTGATTGTGCGTTGCAGATTACAGCATACAGTAGCATAGCACGCGGGACCGACGGGGGAGCTGTTGTGGTTTCGTGGTTGTGGTTGTGGTTGTGGTTGAGGACATTAATTGGCCGAGTCGTCTGATCGGCGAGAGATGCTCGAGGGGCACAGCACACGGGAGGGTGAGTGAGTTGGCAGGGGGGACACGGCAAATCCGGGGACCTGGATTAGGTACACACGAGAGGCCGGGTCGTGGGACGAGCAGCAACAACTTAGTGGGAGCACTTGGTGGTGGACGAGGAAGGCGAACGAGGAGGAGCAGCAGCAGCAGCCCGCGGCGAGCCGGAGCACCGAGGCCGCGCGAATGAGCGACTGACACGCCGCGACCCGGTCGGGGCCATGGATGGATGGATGGATGATGGCCGGCTGGCTCTCGTTCAGTCTGCCTGGCACAGTTCGATTCGCAGATTGGATGGCTGGACGAAAGAAGGGAGCTCATCACGGAGGCAGCGGGCGTAAATCTTTACGAAGCACAGCAACGAGCTATAGTAAGTACTGTACAGCATGCTTGTTCCCTGCAATGGCCTGTGTCGTTGGCGACGCAATCGCCGAAGCCCGCCGTGGATGGCCGCCTCGGTCAGGGCACACCAGCTGGCTGGATTCATTTGCCGTGTCGCGGGCGCCATTCGCGGTCGGCCCCCTCTCGCGTCTTCTTCTCGGCAGATGGACACGGGGGAGGGCACGGGAGCCGAGTGTCTCATTCGGGGCCGGATGAACAGAACAAGACACCCACACTGGCTAACTAGCTATTTCACTGCCGCGAGGGCCTGCCCGCTCGCTCGCTCGCTCCCGCTAGAGCGTCAGCAGACGAAGGGCGGCGACGACGCAGTGAGGCGCCACGGGACGCCTGGCCGTCTGATTGAGGTCCCGAGGCTAGTATCCCGCTACCAAGCTAGTAGCACCAGAATGCTCCAGCTCAGGTGCCGACGACATGGTGGGCCGTGACGTCGTCGGTGTCTCAACCGGCGGCGGAGATGCAGAGACACGGCGGCCTTGTTCTGGCATGACGCCGGTTTATGCGATGCTTGGCGCTACTGTACACCGGGCGGTCGGTGTCCCTTTCTCTTGTGCGGCCGCCGCGGTCTTGGTATGTTCCGTACGAAGCTGTGTGTAGTCGTCGTCATGCATCGAAGCTTTGGGTGCATTTGCGGGAGGCGCAGTGCAACAACCACGACGACGGCCACCACTGCCACCGAGAGATCGCCGCGCCCTGTCCCCGACCGGTGGAGCGACAAGAAGGGGCGGGACTGGGGAGATCTGACGTGGGAGAAGCTCTGCTGCAGATACTGTGGCCACCTACTGAGAGCCTTCGTGGCTTGTGCTGTAGATTCGCAGCAGGCACGACGGGAGACGAGAAACCACCAAAATAGCCCGCCGGGCGGCCTGTAAGTGCGTGCCGTGCCCTGCCGCGGGTCGATCCGATTGCGCCCTGCAGCGTTGGGCATCAACGCCCATGGGAAAAGCCCCCTCTCACCTACCCCCTCGTCCCGTCCCCTCGCTCACTGGGCGGGGCTGACTTGTAGCGCGCGCTTCGAATGCAGAGACATCGTCAGCGCGCATGCATTCCCAACGAGTCTTGGCTCTTGGTCCCCGCGTCGGTGCAGGAGGTTAACGCTGCAGGCGGGTTTCTGCAAGGCCCTTCGTCTCTCTGCGCGCGACGTCATGGCCCCGGAGATGCAAGAGGCACGGCGCGCGGCAATGGCTGCTAAAGATCTGTAGTGAGCGTAGTAGCAGTGGGATGTCTTGGATCTGAACTCGTGTGACGATTCCTGGCGTCGAGGCGATGACGCTGTCGCCGCAGTGCGGAAGAGGGGAGGGAGTGTGTCTTGTGTAAGTGGACGGAGCATTGGCGGGCAAAGACGGGGCCCATGAAGGGAATCGCACGACTCTACGGGTTCCAGGGTTGGCTTCAGGCCCGCTGCCGCGACTGCTGGAAGCCCGAATGGAAGCACTGGGGCCGACCTGCTTAGTGGAGGCACTCCAGACCCAACCCCGCTGGGGGTCGTTTTCAGGCGCCCGCGCCCTGATCCTCGCCACCGCTACCTTACCCTTACGCAACCCTCAATCAGGCTCGGCCCGTCTGGCGGGTAGCTTGCCGCCTCCAGGCACCACCCTCGTCTCAGGCACCGGACGTCCCGTCGTTGCGCCTCTGCCCGATAGCACGCCCATTTAGGACTCTTCGTCCGGTGAAGGATGGCGCCCAGCCTGTGTGCTGGACCGAGTGGCCGCCCGCCGGTGCACAGACATTTCGAACTCTTGTTCTTGTTCGGGAATGCTAGGCAACGAGGAAGAAATCGGAAACCCCCTTCTTCCGATCTTTCCAGGATTCTAGAAGGGGAGATTCGGCTGCCTGGCCTGGAAAGTCGGGAATCAAGCCAAGATAAAAAAGCCACAGGGGAGGGGGGGTGGATTAACGGCGAAGAGCGGGAAAATATAGAAAAAGTGGCCTGTCCCAACGCTCATCATCACACCACGCACGCCTCGCGTGTTGGGCTGTCTGTCAGCCAGCCGGTGTCATAATATCGAATAAACATGACTCCCAGGTTTATTAGCACCTAACATTCTGCGCCAGGCACAGCGACGATCAGCTTGGCGAAAGGCGAGAGGCGGAACGGGCACAAAGCTGGCCATGCAAAGCAGGCATTTGAATCGTGCCGTAACGGAACTTGAACACTCACTCGCCATGGCCCCAGAACAAACTAGACTGTTCAGGCAGTCGTCGACCAAGACAACATACGATGGCGTACGTGTGTGCATGTCATGTCAGGTCGCCGGATGGACGCATGGACGGACGGACGGAATCCTTCCAGACGCCTGCGGCCGACATGTCAGGGTCTTTCCCTCTCTGTCTCTCTCTGTTGGCGTTGCCTGTTTGGGCAGACGGGGTGCTTTTTCGCCGTCTCATCAACGGCCGGCCCGTCTGGCGTGCCGTGTTTCGTTTCGCGCGCGCGCTCGCTCGCTCGCCTCGGCATTCCCTCTTGCGAACAGCCAGCCCGTCACGAACAAAGTACAGCACATGACCGACCGTCCTGTATGTACGAGTACAGTAACGGGCACGAGTAATTGTGCCGTCGCTCAGCCACGCACGCACGCGCACACACACGCAGATAGACACAGGCACACACCCCCGAGGTCCCCCGTCTACGTGGTAATTATGGTGCTTCGTGTGATGGCCGTTACGTGTTGCCTGTGAAGAGACCAATGCCCCCCACCTGTCCACTCATTCTCGTCCCGCGCCGCCGCCCCGCGCGCCAGTCGCCCCCCAACGCGAGCCGCGGGGGGGACAGCGAAACAACGGCAAGCGCCCGCAGTGTCGAAAACTCACCACCCCCGTCCCAACTCGATTGGCGGCGGCGGGGGGTGTGTCGGTCCCCCAATTTGCAGGCGAGGCGAACAGTCGGCGGCGTTGGCACGACAGGCACTCAGTTACTCACTCCAGCTCACACCCCCCCGGCCAAGCCAAGATCCCCTGCCCGTTTGGGGGTGCCTTTTTGCAGAGCAGAGCAGAGCAGTCGAGGCGCACGCACGCATGCCTGGCCGTTGTTCCCCCCCTGTGGGGAACATACACGTACGTATGTGTGCGTCGACGAGAGTGAGTTGCTCCGGGAGCGTGGATGCGTGGGTGGCATGGTGGGCAAGGTGACACACCCAGGCCGGGCATCTGCTTCCCTTCGGATCGTGCAGCATGCCCGCCGTGTGTGGGCGCACTTCCAGTTGTGTCGCAAGGGATCCATCCGTCCACCCATCTGCAACAACGTACGTGTGTGTACCTACCTGTGTGCATGTGTATGTGCATGTGTACATATACAAACGGCCCTCTGCCCAACCTCTTCCCCCCTCTCCCCTCCCCGGCCGGCCGGTCTCGCTTGGGTTACTACCTTTATATGGCCCAGATCTCGTCCCTGTCTGACCCCAAATCTATCTCGAACGGACGGACAGACGGATACATACATACATACATGCAGCAGCAGCAGCATTATTCCGCCAGCAGCAGCTCCTCCCTTCTTTTCGAGATTTGATCCCTTGCATCTCGCTTCCGTTTTACATACAGCTCGTTTTGGTCATTTCCATCGCGCGCTCAGTCATCTTGTGCGACTCTGAGCGGGAGATCCCCCCACCTCACCTCACCGGACCTCTCACCTCACTTACACGGCTGAATCACCACCACCACCACCACCACCGCCAACGTCTGCACTCACCGCCACGACCTTCATCCCCCAAACCGGCAAAATGCCCACCAAAGTCCGCATAATAGAGCACAAACCCTCAAGTAGCGACGACGGCCCCATAGCCCCGTCCATCATGGCGTCCTCCTACTCCTCATCCGCTCTCTCCGACTCCTCCCTCGCCTCGTCCTCCTCCGGGTCCTCCTCCTCCGCCGCCGCCTCGTACGAATCCACACCCTCCACCGCCCCGACGTCCATCTACAAGACGCCTTCCAGCTCGCGCAGCACGCGCCACGAGCGGCCACGCCGCCGCAGCCAGGAGCAGCCGAGGAGAAGAGACCAACGGCAAGAAGAACAAGAACAAGAACCAAAACGCCGAGAACCGAGGAATGAGCTCGATCAAGATCCTCCGCCTACAATCACCTTCTTCCCGCCCTCGCCCGCCGCCTCCCTCTCCTCCGTTGCTACCTACGACTCGCTCCTCTCCGACGCCGAGCCGGAACCTCTGAGCCTCTCCCCCGACGACGATGGCAACGACGCCGCCCACCCGGTCGAGGCCACCGCCGCCCCTAGCACGGTACACCTCCCGTCCCCGGCCGACGCCTCCATCCCCGCCGCTCTACCCCCCTACCGCACTCTGATCCCGCTCGATCCGTCCCTCCGCCCCTCGGACCCCTACACCTTCGCCCGGCTGTTCCCCTCGCTGGACCGCCTCGCCATCCGCCACGACGACACCACCGCCGACGGCAACATGAACCTGCGCGTCGAGACCGTCGTCGCCCCAAGCAGCCCCGGCCCGTCCGGTGCGCCCGGCCCCGTCCTCGGCCCCCGCAGGAGGCCCGCCACCGTGCAGCTCTTCCACCTGCGCATGCACGACCTCGCGCGGCGCGACTTCTCGCTGCGCCGCTACTGCCGCGACTCGGGCCGCGAGGTGTGCTTCTCCAAGCGCGCGTACGCGCCCTCCTCGGGCGGCCGCGCCGCCGCCGTCTCCTCGGCGAGCCACACGCTGCAGCGCGCCCTGCGCTCCGTCAAGAGCCCGTTCCGCCGCTCGTCCTCGTCCTCGTCGTCCGCTGGTGGCGGCAACGGCGACGCTTCGACAACGACGTCTTCGCCGCGTAACTCGCTGGGCTTTGCGCGCCGGCCCTCCACGGGGGGCAGCACCGTGACGGCCCACACTACGGCGTCGTCGTCCTGCTGGAGCCGCCGTGGGTCGACTGCCTCGTCCGCCTCCCTGGCCGGCAACGCGCTTCTATCTGGAGCTGGCGGCTCGGGCGCCGCGCACCCCCCGCCGCAGGTCCTCGTCCCGACCGACACCATCAAGCTCGAGTTTAGCAACTACGCGCGCGTCGACGTCTCGCGGCGGCACTCGAGCGGCAGCGGCGGCGCGGCGACCAAGGCGTACGAGTTCGAGTGGTGGGACCACCGGTACGCCTGGCGCCGGGCCGTGGACCGTGCCCTCGGCGCCGTGTCGTTCCACCTCGTGCGCGACGGGGACGCCGCCGCCGCGGTCGCGCACATCGTCCCCGAGGTGCGCACCCCGACGCAGGTCTTTGCCGAGGACCGCGCCGGCGGGTGGGTGCCGCCGTGCTACATGTGGATCAGCGACCAGTCCGTCGTCGATGCCGTGACCGATGTTGCCGAGTACGTTTCTCCCCTCCCCCCCCGTCTCCTATCCCATCCTCTTTGCTCGCAACATGATGGAATGATTATTTGCTGACGATTCGACCGCAGCGTCATAGTGGCAACCGGTCTCATCGCCCTGGTGGACGATTCCATCCGCGAGCGCTGGCCCGTCAAGAAGAAGCCCGCGCACGTCTCCCCGTATCTGCTCCCGACGAAGCCCCACTTCGGGCCCGGTCCGGCCTCCGCTGCCGCCGCCGACGCGGACGGAGAGGACGCGGCCCGCAGACCCGGCGTCCGGGGCTTCTTCTCCCGCCGGCCGTCGGCGCAGCACTCGCACAGCCCGCTGCGCCTGGGGCGCACCGTCGCCGTGTATTGATATCAACCAAGTTCGACAGAAAGGCCCTCTCTGGCTGAGTCAACTGGGTGGGCTGCCGTACTCACAGATCAAACCCGGCGCCCCCCAGCAATTGCAACTTCCTTTGCTTTTACTACTATTCTCTGCAGATGTTTTCTACTTGTCCTCTTACCATTTCATTTCAATCTTGTTTTTTTTTTCGAGATCGCATGAGGCGTTGAATGGATGGGATTGAGCCTATTTCAGAGGCCGGGAAAGCATCAAGCATGAGCATCAATGATGGGGCCGAGCACGGACGGCGTTTGCGACTTTACGAATTTATGCCACGAGAATCATGTACTTGGAATAATTTCCACGGCAATTGACACTATGTACTCAAGTCTGAGATCTGTCGCCGTCTTCGCAATCGGCTACTCAGTATCCTCTCAAACGCCCATTGTCTGCGCACAAACTGAATCCGAATGCTCAAAACCTCAACTCCGTGTACCGCATAGCCCGTCGTCATTCATGTCCATCACTCCCAGCCATCAGTTCGGTTGCCCAGCCAGCTGCCAAAGTCCAGCTTCATTAGAAGTCGGTTCACGCCGCCTATCCTCCCTGGCGCATACCGCTGGCCATCGCTCATGTCGTCGTCATCCGTCATCGTCCCCTGGGACTCCCACTCCGCCAGAAAGTCAGAGTTGTTCTCCAGGTTCCGCAGAGCCTCAACCACCCCTTCTATGCCCTTTCTGACCTTGTCTTCCACTCCGCGAAGGAGGCCCATGACTTCGCGTTGTTCACGATTGGGGTCCACAAACGCGTCGACGACGCCAGCGTCTGTCTCCAGGTCAATCGACGTAAAGATCGAGTGCAGCCGCTGAACATGGGCGACGAGGTGATCGATATGTACAAGCAGGGTGTATAGCGGATCTGTAAAGGATGGCTGGGTGAGAAGCAACCTGTGTACCAAAGTACGGAGGTAAAGGGTATGGGCCGCTGACAGTGTCTGCGGATCATGGGCAGGCTTCTTTGACGTCTTGGCGGCTTGCCTTTGTGTCTGCGAGTCCCAGTCGTCGAGGAACAAGTCCTCATCTTCGCTCTCCTGCCTGCCTGCATTTGCGGCGGGGGTTGCAGCCCCTGATCGATTTGTGTTCGGCCCATCCCGCCGCGATTCCGTGCCCGTCAACCAGGCACTAAACGTCTCCCACATACCCTCGACGATTTCCGTCTGCAGGTACGCTTCTGTCTCACCGAGAAAGAAAATGGCGGCGCTCGCAGTCGTCCATGAGCTCCGCAGTGCCACCGATCGCGCTGACCACCGCTGCCGGAGCAAAGCCGCGTGCTCTCCGGCTCCTGGAGGTGCTGGGTGATGTCGCCGCAGGGAGGTGATCTTCCACAAGTCCGTCAGTCGAATGTGGGCGCGGCGAAGCGACAATAGATAGGAGTTAATGCAGGAATAGATCTGAAGGTCTGAAGGAGAGATGACCATGTCAAGGGGCGACGGTAGGTCTGCGAACACCGCCGCAGGTACTGAGAACAGCATGTTGCGGAATGGCGAGGAGTCTAGCAGCCTGATTGCATCGGGGCCCAGGCCTTTCCCACCGCTCATTGGAATTGGCGGTCTTGACTTGGTCAGCTGCAGCCGCAGTACGTCGCGAGCCAGCTCGAGTGACTCGTCCTCATCGGCGTGTTGGCCCTGCATCGATGCCAGGACAGCCCAAGTTCTGTTGAGAACAGCTGCCACCTCACCATCTTTGACAGTCACATTCTTCAGGCCATCATCCTTTTCGTATGCGAGATTCCCAGCTCTGCGCCATCGATGCCGTATCTTTTCATCTGCCTCGTGTGTCAATGCCAAAGCAAACTCGCCACGGCCCAGAAGGAAAAACTCCCGAAACAGTTGCAATATTTCGACCACCCTGGCCAAGGGCAGAATCTTCTGTAGAGTGTTTTCGGAGAGTGAGAGGCGGATGGAGGTTATCGTCCGCGAGAAGGTTACGCCATTGAGCGGGAAGCTCAGATTTCCAAGCTCCTTGAGTTTCGAAGATACATGGCGCAGCCCACCCAGTCCGGCATTCATGTCGCCCATGACCCGGACGTGGTTGAGCGACTTGCCAATAAAGAGCATGGACGACGCAGTTGTCGGCGCAACAAATGATGGAAGGCGTTCGCGAAGAAGTACAAAGTCCTGTCACCTGTTAGCTCAGCTTCGATACCAGAGGCCGGAAAGTGTAGTCACCTCTTCTGCGGTTTGCGACTTTTGCACGAAAAAGTCGTCGCCTCCGAAATCCGGCAGTCTTCCATAGAGAACCCACGCAGATACTTGCTTCAGCCAGGCCGTCTCCGCCATGGTGACCAAGCTCAACGCCGTGTCGGCCACGTCTTGGTAGCCGCTCTGCAGCTCCTTTCGAAGTCGGTTTATCAAATCCGCTCCTTGGCACGCTGCGCTGTCCTTTTCTCGCGCCAGCATGTACTGCACCACCTCCCAGAGCCACTCCATTCTTCTCGTCCATTGCTTGAACTCGCCCATGACGGCGGTCAGCGGGACAATGTTGTAGGCACCAACGAGCTCGGGGTCATCCTTCAGTATGCTTTCTTCCACCTCGAGTACCTTGCGCTGGAATGCAGCGAGGTGCACCGACGAGATTGCAGCGGCAACGGCGCGGCATATTGCCGACGGATGCGCGGAGGATATTTGCGACGTGTAGGTGAGCAGCTTGACATGGATGTCGCTCAGGTGGGCGGCAGAAGCTAAGAGCTGGCGCTCTGGGGGGCTGATTCCCGCTCGAGCATGTGAATCGTCGTCGGTGGATCGGAGGAGAGGGGACGGATGCCCCGAGAGGGAGAGAAGGATCTCGTGGAGCATTCTGGTTCGGCAGGGAGCTGCCTAGGGTTCTCGTTAGGTACACTCGCGGTCTGGGAGCCTTGTTTCGCGGACCTTCGTTTTCGTTTGATCGATCGAATATAATCGGCAATGTCATGTGCGATAAGAATGAATGATCCGAGAAGCTCGTAACGACACATCGACTGCCAGATGCCGACGAGCCTGACGTCGCCTGTAGGATGTAGCTTGGAAGTGTCGCTGCGATTGTCGCGTCTCGCGCCCGGGCTGGCTGCTCTTGGATCTTCGCTCGACTGTTCGACTGTTATCCAACAGCTAGGGTGCCGCTCGGTGCGATTTTGTCGACGTCATGTCGACTCGAGCTGCGTTTGATGTTGGTCGCCTCCCTGGTGAACCGTAAGTAGTGGGGTCGGTCCATCAAAGGCCAAACGCGTGTCGCGACTGGATCGCTGGCAGCTCCGCGCTCACACGTGACCACCTGTAGCTAACCTCGAAGCACCTTCAACTTCTACTTTGACGTACCTGGTCGACCTACCTACTTTCGCTCGTCATTGAACTGCAGGTTACACACTTGTGGGCTTGCAGCTCAGGGGGATGCTAATATATATCTGAACTCGCTCTAGCATTTAATGTCGATTCGTCGCCCAAAGTCTGCCCATCGTGTTTCAACAACGGTCCGTCTCTTTTTGTCTACACTCCTCAATGCTCAGGAGCTGGGCATCTTCCCCTTGCCGCTGTACCCACCGGAAACACTGGCAGAATCACCGTATGCGCTCTGGGCTGTGCTTCCGCCGCCGTTCCCCCCAGCTGCGATTGTAGCGTCGCCGCCGTCTCCCCCGCCAACAATAACCTCACCGCCGCCCTTCACTTTACCAACAACCATGCCTTTGGCCACGCTCTTGAGGATAGCTCGGCGCGATACGCCCGTGACATCGATGTAGACGAGGCCAACGTTCTTGAAGCCGCCGCCAATATTGCGCGCCACATCTCCGGCCTCGGGGCCCCATCGGTGGCCGACGACCTGCGATGCGCTGGCCGACGTGCTGGTGAGCAGGTTCCGCCCAGCCTGCTCTATGCCGTCGACGACCGTGTTAAAGGCCATCAGGCTCTTGTTTAGCATCCCCGGCTTGTAGGTTTCAATCATTTTGCCGTCCTTGTCGTAGCCCCGCGCTCTGCCGTCCTTGCGTTTGGTAACATGGGCGCCAAAGTTTTGTGCAACCTTGCCGATGGACCCCACGGTCGTCGCAGACAGGCCAGCAGTCTTTGTAGAAAACTGGTTGATGCGTCGGATATGCGCGTGCGTTGTCGGGCTGAAGCTCACAGGTTTGGCAACGGGTTGCGTGTTTTTCGTGAAGTTGTCGGCTTGCGATTGCAAGGTCTTGGTGACGTAGTCGGACGTGGTAATGATGAAGCGAGATGCCTTGCTGGCGGTGTTGACCAAGGTGGACTTTCGGTAGGCGGGATGCAATTCATCCTCGATGGAGAGCGGCTGAACAGCGATGTTCTGGGTGCCATCCGCAGGCAGGGAGATTTCGACGGGATCTGCCTCAGGTCAGTCAAGTTTTGAAAGACGTGACAATCTCACATACCCTTGGATCCCGGTCGTACAGCGCCGTCTTCGACAACCTGGAAGCCCTCGCTGAGCTCGCCTATGACGCTGCCGTCCTCCTCGTCCACAAGCACGATGCGCCCGCCCTTGCCCGACGAAGAGCTGTGGCTCCCCTGGACGTATCCTTCGCCCGGATCAAAGTCGGCCGGGTTATAGGGTGGCAGCTCCTCGCCTGCGGCTTCGCCGGCCTTGGCCTCGGCGGCCTTGGACTTCCTCGGCCTCGGCGCGGGCGTCCGCTCGAGAAACGCGGTGCATTGGGCCAGGATGGTCTCGAAGGTGTCGACATCCTCCTGGATGCCGGGCCTGCTACCTGCAGCAGGGAACTCGATGCGCGTGAATGCTCCGCTATCGGGTCCGAGGTCCCAGCGAGGGATCAGATAACTCGTGGGTGGTTGATGGTATATCTGCGTGGTGGCTGGCAGGGGAAGATCGAGCTCGGGAGGGAGATGAAGGTGCAGGTAGAAGTCCTCCTCGCCATTGCCAACACCGCTGGGATCTGCGAACCCGGACGACGTGGGGACCATAAGCAGCGACAGCGTTTGGGCGCCAGTGGGCGTAAGAGACTCCTCATTGCCGTTGGCGATGTGGTAAGCCTTGATGCCATCTACGGCATATAGGAGCTTGGGGTCCTGCGAGGTGTAAGCGAGCAAGTCCGGAGCGCGGACGGCAACCGGGAGAGCAAAGGGATGCGACTCACATTGTGTCCTGAAGCCATGGTGAATATGAGCACGGGCTGTCGCGAGGCTGGCTGGACAGCAAGAAAGGAGGTGAGGTGGAAGCGTTGAAATCAGGAGCGTGTCGCGGGGTAATGTTCAAGGTGCTCGGTGGCGGGGCGACGACTGCTGCAGATTCTCTGGGCCAGCGGGTTCACCTTGGACTTGGCGGAGGGAGTCGCGCCAGAGCAGGGATGACGGATAAAATAAGAGCGCCCCCGGTGCTGCACTGCAGCTTGAAGCCGAGGATTTGCAAGCTGAAAGGGGCCCATCTGCATGGCCCGACGCGTTCCCCAGGGACCTTGGTTGGCCATCCAAGCGCCAGGCCGTCTTGTGAGGCCTCTCGGGGGAGGGGCGAAACGACGTCATTGGTCGTCACTGGGAGTGGGGGGCGTGGTGACGCCAGGTGCCCCGGACTTGTCTGAGCGTTGTTGGGTCGAAAACAGGATATCTAACCTTGGGTGTTTGAATGCGCGAAGCGGCATATCCTCGTAGGGAGATGTGCGCGCTTCAGCGATGACAGGAGGCTTGAAGCAAGCCTGAGGCATTCTGCACCTGCTGGCCTGAGCCTGGCCGTCCATGGACGAGGAAGGTGCGGCCGTGCCGCAATGTGCCTTCTCTGTTTCCCCCAAGCACCTCAAGAGCTCCTTAGCTCCTTCCCTGGCTTGGAACGGAGCAACTGCGCCTGTGAGGAAGGTACCTCCGCGGGCCTCAAAAACGCGAGAGGTAGTTGCGATGCAATTCCAGGCTAATTCTTGGGTGCCTGAGGTATCAAAAAGGTATCATGGGGTATTGAGGTATCATAATGCGCGCTCCCTTGCATGAAAATTCCCCCGCTCGCTTGACTCCCTGCCAGCATCAACTCACGGCCCTCGCCATCGCGCCTGGCAAACCAGACTCGATCCCGACTAGTCGTACAATGTGCTGGGCGTGTACAGGGGCAGATCCGGCACCACAGACATCGTCGCACCGATAACATCGTCGTCCCCAGGCCCCAACTTGGTCGCGAGCTTCGCGTCTGCCTTCCACGTCACCTCCTTCTTCCTCCTGTTCACGCCTTGCTTGTCTGAACTACCTGCTCCACGAGGCGCGAGCTTGTACCTGGCCTGCTCAGATGAATCAAGCTCGACTGGCGGGTTGACGACGGTCAGATTGAAGTACACGGGCCCTGGTGGCGCCGGATAAGGCTGCGGCTGTTGCAGTGGCTGCGGCTGCGGCTGTAGTTGCGGTTGCGGCTGCTGTTGTTGCTGCACAGGCCTTTCTGGAGGAGCCCTGTAGGCTTCGACGGGATAGACGCCGCTCTGTACTCTGTAGGTCTGTCGCTCTCGTTCCCGCGGGTCCAGAAGTTCCTCAATCGCATCCGCTTTCTTCTGGTAGGCTTCCTTGGCCCGTTTCCCGGACGTCAAGGCTCGCACGATCAGGCACTGAGAATAGTCCTGCCATGTACTGCGCCGCCCAGTCTCTCCTTGGGCGAGAATGTCGCGTCGCAGCTCTTCCAAAGAGGCCGGTGTCTGTTTGAGCATATACCGGAACAACAACGTGCTCTGGCGAGCCAAGCCACTGCCCAGGGTGGCCTGCAGGGCATCGAGCTTTTCCACAACGAGCTCGGGCGCCTCCTCACCCTGCTCCATCGCTTCGAGAAGACAGGCTTCTTGCATCTCGACGTCACCCAGGTCCTCCGCAGCCTTCATCACTGCTTTCGTAGTGAGCCTTGCGGTTCGTGAGGTCTTCGTCTTGCGTGGCAACCACAACGGCTTCTCATCTTCGAGCGGCGCGTACAAGGGCAGGCTGGCCCGCGGAAAGAGATACCTGGTCGTGAAGATACTCCCTGCAACCCCAGAGTCCAGCGACAGGGGAATCGGCCGTTGGTCGCCTTCGTCGTCGTCGTAGCTCTCCAGTAGGACCCCAGCCATTGTATAGCGGAGGCAGGGCCGAGACTTGAGGTTATGCGTGTCCGTTGAGATCAAGGCGCTAGCATACTTGCTGGCGTGGTCCAGGCATAGGTCAATGATTTTCCTCTTCCTGGGGAGCTTCATGTAGGCGAGCGCGAGTGAGGTGAAGAGGTCGACCAGAGCGAACGCGGATGCCTCATCTGGGCTGTCCCAATCTTCCACGAGGCGTCGAACGCCGCCTTCATCGGACGACGATAGCGGACTGTCCATGAAGTAAGGGAAGAACATCCGCAAGACTGTTTCCACGCCGCAAATGGGTTCGAGCGCGAGAAAGAGGCTGCATAGCTCCCACACCATGCCTTGCCTCCACAGGTGAGAATATAGGTCGGCGAACGTGTAGGGACTGAAACGCTCCTGGAAGTCGTCGAGCGAGGCTGCAGAACAAATGAGCACAAGATGCAAAAGCTCCATCTATGCGCGGTTAGTGTTTGACAATCCCCTTCATGTCGCGTGCTGCTCACCTCTGTAGAATCGAGATTCGGAAAGCTCTCTTGCAAATGGTCCAGCGCCTTGTCCCCAAGCTTGTCGACGTCTTGCAGCACTGGGGTTTCAACATCGCTGTCCAATCCCATCAGGTACACGAGGAGATCCCAGTTGAGCTCCAACGCATCGTCGACCGCGGCCTCTTGTGGTGGAAACCGCTTCGCGAGCTTGGCGAACTCGCTTGAATTGACTCGTTCGGCGAGAAAGCGACCGTACTGTGTCAGGACGTATTTGTTATCGAGAAAGTGCTCCAAGTGCGCGTCGAAATGCCGAGCGGCGTCGTTGAAGCGGCCCAATCTCCGCAGGCGGGAGAACTCTTCGAGGACATCTTCCACGTCGTCTGTCGCATCGAGGGACATGTGAATGGTTACGTCTTGGGGCTCCAGCGGATTCAACTCAAACGTAAGGGGCTCCTTGACTGCTGGCCGTGGTTGTTTCGGGCCCTTGCGGCGGCGGCGGCCGTTCTCTGCGTCAAAACCATAGGGGCTTTGCTGCGCGTTGGTTTCCGAAGGATATAGTCCACTGTCCTGCTGCGGCGGAGAATGCAGAGGTACATAATGATCTTGCGGAGGGACGTAGCTGCTTGGCTGCTCCTCGCGATCCACGTGGCCGCCAGTACCTTTCGAGTGGTAGCGATAAGGGTTGACACTGCTCTGGTCGGCGCTGGGTGATCCGGGCGGACGGTATGGCTGGTAAATGGGCTGTTCCGGCACGGGGTATGAGGGATACTGCTGGTATCCCACGTCGCTTTGATAGGGTTGGTATGGTTTGGGCGGCACAGTGTAGGAGCCGTATACGGGATTCGGCGAGTCGAAGCGGGACGGCAACGGATACCCAGGTTCGTCGGGCTTCTTATCCCCCATGTACGACGAAGACATCGTTTGCGTCGCCGACAAGACGGGGTAATTTGTGTTTGGCATCGGATAGTAGGGCTGCGGCTTCAGGTCACGTCGTCGCTCGCGAGCCTCTTTATCGCCTTTCGGCGTGAAGCCAGGGCGAAGGCGAGGGCCGCCGAGTCTCTCGTACGAGTCCATCGTACTTGAGCGACGGCAGGTTGTCGCGGCGCACAAACGACGAGGCCGGGCGTGAGAGTTGTAGCAAGCGCTCAGTGACACCGAGGCACAACGATCGACGACATTGTCAAGTCGACGTGCAGGCAGCCAAACCAAAGTCGGCCGCGACTTGAATTCAGCCGCACGTATGACCGGCTGCGGGCGTGGCTGAGAGCTGGTGATCCCTGCCGGGCGTGGTTCTGAAGGCGACTATTGCCTCCTGTGTGGCCTCACAAATGCCCCTAATGCAAGGCGAAAACACGCCTCGCTTCGCCACACCCATGGCCGTTGTCCCTCCCGAAGGGGTCGCCCGTCAGCCTTTCCCGCCCACGGTCCGCCTGATGCAGGACCTCAATCGATCGCACAGTCCTCGACGCTCTTCTCAAGTCCTTGGCCTGAAGTCCTCGATCCTACCGCAGGTAGGCATACGCTCAGCGATCGCATTGGCAGGTCCGTCATCATGAGCCAGTATACTCTGCCTCATAGACAGCAGCAACAGCAACCGCAACCGCAACAGCAGCGGCAGACGCATGCCCCGTCGCGACCGCTAGGCCCAGTTCTTGGAGTGCGCCGTTTCGGGCGCAACGACTTTGAGCGCTTCGACCAGGAGGCCGCGCGTGGATCGCATCTTTGCGTCGGCTCAACCACCATCGGCAAGGTCGACATCGACTGCAAGTACCAATGGAAGAAGGCGAAATGGGGCGTCCTGGGCGTCGAGAAGCGGCCCGCGGGCGTCGTCTACATGGACATTACCTTTAAGCAGCCGCACGGGTGGTGGCTCCAGAACGCGAGCGTCTTCGTCACCGTGAGCGAGGACAAGTCGTCGTATGCGCTCGTCGCGCGGCGCAAAGAGCGCGCAGAGCAGGCAGACCTCGCCTCCGACTACGCGGTGCAGATTACAGACTACTTTGGTCCGAGGTTCCTTACGGGGACCAAGACGGTGCGCAGCGAGAGTCGGCGCATGAAGTTTACGCCCACGATGGGCGGCCCGGGCGTGGAGGTAGGGGGCATGGGCTATGAGTCGATCAGCTCGCACGAGAAAGTCGGCCGATGGGTGTTCAAGGGTAACGTCGGCAAGCCAAAAGGCCGAGACGGACTGCGGACGCTGCATTGGGAGCTGACCGAGAACTGCCTCGACCCGGATCAGGCGCACAGCCAAGAGTTCCGTACGGCGTTCGCATTCGAGCACAGTCGGCGACCGGTATACCTGCGAGTCGAGATGGAGGGCCGGCTGCTCAGCAAGGGGCAGCAGCTGAAGCACGGCATGAAGCGCTTCTCATCGCACGGGCTCGGCCGAAAAGACGATTCGACACTCATGCACATCGACTTTGGCAGAGACTTTATGTTCGAGAGGAGCCTCGATGCGATCGCGCAGGGGTTGGACATGACGATGCAGATGGAGAACCTACAAAAGGCACCGGTCGAGACGCCTGACCCGACGCCAGCCAAATTCACCGCCGACACGAAAACATCGGGGCTGGGACCTGGCATTGGGTCTGGCAGACTGGGTGTCATTGAGGAGCGGCACGAGCCGCCGCAGCAAACGAGCTACCACACCACGAAGCAACAGGACGCGCTGCTACGACTTCTCACACAAACAACGGAGGACCGTCGGCCGATAAGCCAAGCTCCGCGGGCGACGATAAAGATCGAAGAGATGGAAGAGACTCTGGTGGTGCTCGAGAGCAGCCGTGAGGCCGAGGGTCCAGACACAGAGTCAGTGGACACGGAAGAATTGGCACCAGTCGCCACCAACAACACCCCCGCACGATACCAAAGCGCAGACGAGGCGTTGCTAGAGATGCTCAAGATCCCCGCGATACTGTATATCCTGCGGGTGTTTGTCATGATCACGAGCGCATTCAGCAAGCTTCCGCAAAGTGGCGGTGGCGGCAGACAGCCAACACCAAACAATACCAGGAGGGTCAAGCCGCAGGCGGCAGCAAATGGACGCTACGTGACGATCGGCGGCGGCGGCGGCGGCAAAATGTTCGACGCCGACGGCCCGTTTCGACTTGACGGCGCAAGGGTCGAGGGGACGCTGCCGGGGCTGTCGAAGAGGTTGGTGAGCTCTCAGGCGGCTGAGAGGCAAGCGAACGGATTCTTGCAGCGAGGACAGCAGACGCGGATACGAAGCTGGTGAGGGTGGCACGGTGTCGCGGCATCGAGAAGGGATTGCTTGGTGTGTTGTATGAAGTAATACTTATACCCCCGACGGAGCGACAGGCAGATGTTGGCGCGTGCTCTGTACTCTGTTGTATGACACCCCCGTCGTTACGGTTTGTGTCTGGCACGAAATTCGAACATTACCATTGATAAGGGGGAGTTGGCATTGAAGCCGACTTCAACAGACATAATTGATAGCCAACGTAGATATACTCCTATCGCATTATACCTGTCCTCTGTAAGTATTGCGCGACGGGAGATCCCGACCCGCCTGTATGACAGGGACTGGAGGGCATGGGAGGAACGAGAGGCAAGAAAGGCCAAAACTGCGAACGGTTGGAGCGGTTTAAAAGCCATTAGCCATAGGCGGCACATGACATGGTCGCAGTCTATTCAAATCGTCTGGCTGGCTCGGCCAATCTTGCCCCGTGAATATTATGCCATGATGCTTGGAAACCGCTGACATGGGCTTGGCTGACGCTCCAAGGCTCCCGCGCTCCCAAGCAACCTGTTTGACAGGTCCAGTCAGTGGAGTTGAGCCGCCCACATGGCGGAGGGGCAGGGGAGGGGGAACTTGTATTCAGCCGCAACGCCACCCAGAGTCGGGGTACCGCTGCTGAGGATCCGTGGAGATGCGCAGCTCGGGACTCGGCTCGGTGGCCGACAAAGTCCCCACAGCATTCTTTGCCCTTGAAACCATTGTGCAGATAATCGACCATGTGGAAATTCTCAAGGTATCTGCGGCGAGCACATTCTCTCTCCGGAGCCCACCATATGCACCGAGGCAGACACTCGTCACAAAGGGGCGCCCGCATCCGTGGATAGCCGGCAGCGTGTTAGTTGCTTGCAACATGAAGCGTGCGTGCAACCACCACAGGGGCTGAAAGTTACACCCTTTGCCCGCCCAGCTCGATTGAGACGACGAAACATTATTGTATCCGAGTTAACGCGCTCATAGCTGAGACGAGTGCTTCGAGCATATTACAGAGAGTAACCCGGTATAAGGATAGGAACGAACCTAGTTGCAGAGCTGTGGCTTACAGGCACTGACATTACATGACGCCTCAAATTTCACATATCACAACGCCTACTCTGGCGCAGTCCAGAGCGCGAACTCTATTTGCGCCGCTTGGCTGGAGATTTCTCGAGGCTGCTTTGTCACACTCAGGCATCGAGGCCCTTTATATCATCATGGTTGCGAACTCTACGAATCGATGTCCAGAGCGTGCACAGCTCCAAGGACAAAAGAGAAAGAATAGAATCAACTCGTCTCGACTGGACCGTCCTCCTTTGCTCGAGAGCCCTGACTAGCTCCCCGATGCAACCTCTCGGAGAACCACCACCAGGAACGGACCTCAGTGCGAATAGACACGCGCTGATTGTCGCGCTTTTGGCGTCAAGTTGGGCGTTGGCTGTCATTGTCACTGTTCTCCGTGTCATATGCCGAAGACTCACCAGGAACAGACTATGGTTGGACGACTGGCTGATTCTCATTTCGCTGGTAATTACCGCTTCCCTCGTTCTAAATGGCCAATTCTTCGTTAGACATGAAGCTGATGGAAAGAGTAGGTCTGGTCGGCAATGTACATGTTCCTGCACACTGTCTGGTGTAAGTATCCATGAGTCCGTTTTGGCTCATAAATAGACCAGGCTAAGTTCGAACACAGTAGGTCTCCATGGGTTTGGCAAGCATATTTGGGCCGCTCCGCCTGAAGCCAGGAAAGTTTACGCGCAAGGTTCATTTCTTTCCGGCATTGCCTTTATCCTTGCCTTAGTCTTCATCAAACTATCTGTACTTGCCCTATTTTGGCGTCTTTTCAGCGTCCAGGATTCGATTCAGGCTATACTTTGGATCTTGTTTGGTGTTGTTTACGCTTGGGGATTCGCAGGTGTAAGTTTCCATGCTCAAAACTTGATCTTGGGAGGGAGTCAGCATGCTCACTTCTACTGCAGCTGCTAGTGGTTATCTTCCAATGTCTACCGACACGCTCCATTTGGGAAAGGTTTGATCCAGTCAATCCAATGCCTCCGACCGACTACTCGTGTGGCGTTGATCTGTTCAAGTTCTACTTCGGTTATGCCGTTGTTAATACCTCGACTGATATTGTCATTGTCCTTACTCCCTTCCCATATATTTGGAAGCTTCATCTCCCAAGGGACCAGAAGGCGGCTGTAATGGCCATCTTTGCCCTCGGCACTCTGTGAGTTAGCACAAATTTTGAAATTATCGAAAATCACCTACCCATGGCCTGACCAGACTATTAGGGAGGTAATAATATCAGGCGTACGGATTGTGTTCTTGGTCACCCTCGATCGCTCGTACGTGGACGTGACTTGGGACCTGGCTATTCCGGCTGTGATGACCGGCATCGAGGTTACCTTGGGCACAGTATGCGGTATGTCAGCGACCTCGACCCTATCGACAGGGAAACACTCATACGTTGGTTAGCTTCTCTTCCGACTTTGAGACCCCTCCTGAACTTGATCATGTACGGTAGTGTCCACACAAGGTATGTAATTGATTAATTAATCCGAATTGTGCCAAGATTCAAATCATTCGCTCCATCCGGCCTAGGATCCAATAATTAATGGCGTCGAGCAGCTGTGCCAATTCGTCGGCGGCGAAGGCGGGACGGGGAAGTCGCACGTCATCGCAGTGCTGATGGGCCCGTTCGCCGCAAGAGGGACCTCGAACCGCCTTCTCATGACGGCGACGTCTGGGATGGCCGCGGCACGGACCAGCGGCATCACGATACGCTCCGCCTACGGCTTCACCAAAGACCACGGGAGTTCGCGGACAAACGCGTCGAAAGACGTCGGTAGGCTAAGCCTGCCCAATCAGGCGGAGCAGCGGTTCGTGAACGGCCAGACCCGGGTGGACTGGCAGGAAAAGGACGTCCTCGTCATCGACGAGGTAAGCATACTTGGGGCACGGACGCTGCACGCGGTCATCGAGCAGCTTTGCCGGCTCCGCGGCTCACAGCGAGACCTCGGCAGTATCCCGATCGTCCTCTTTTGCGGCGGCCTCCACCAATTCCGACCGGTACAGGAACGGCCGATCCTGCTGCGCAGCGCGGCTGTCTCATGGGACATAGACAACTCGTTCAAGGCCGGGCAACGACACCGACACGACAAGGCGCACGTGCTGTGGAGGCGATTCGCAACGATCATCATGCCTAAAGAGCATATGCGTGCCGCAGGAAACCCGGAGCTGCAAAGGCTACTGAAGCGAATCCGACGAGGCGAACAAGACGGCACGGACCTGGCTCTGCCCAACTCAAGGTGCTACCAAGAGTCAGTTTGGCAGGCAGTCCGGCAGGCAGTCTAGCAGTCAGTTTGGCAGTCAGTTTGGCAGTCAGTTTGGCAGTCAGTTTGGCAGTCAGTGTGGCAGGCAGTCCAGCAGTTCAATGTTGGCAGTTTGTTTGGCAGTCAATCCAGCAGTCAATCCAGCAGGTTTTGGAGCCGGGCCTATACTGTGATTGGCTCACAGCACGGAGCTGACATTGGCAGGGGCCAGATGCGACCGGACAGGTGAGGCGTGTTGGCGCAAAGCCCCGAAACCCGTCCGTCCATGGTTCAACCCACAGGCCGGAGCGCGGCAACGCGTTCGCCGGAACGAGCATGTGCAAGCGGCCGATGTCCGTTTGTGTGTGTACCTAGTTCGGCGTGCGTTGTGTATGTACGTGTATGTGCGTGTATGCACGCCGACGTCAGAAAGGTGTGCGTGTGCAGTCTGGTTGCACAGCAGTCTGGGAGCAGAGCCCGACATGGCCGGGAGGGACCGCTGATTCAGGATGTCCGCACGTCGTGTCCAACGTCGTGATAGCGTCTGTCACCTCGGTCTGGATGGCCATGCAAGGGCCGGCTCCTAGCACAGTCCAGTCCGTTCCTGCAGAGCGAGCGATGGCTATGTGATCCATGCCCGTGGTGTCTCTGGCAGGACGATCATCAGCCCGACCCCTAACGGGTATCAGCGGCATCCACCTCGATACAGGACGTTAGTTACCGGCCCCATTGCTCCGTGCGATGCCAGCAGCAACAGCGCGAACTGACGTTTGTGGTGACCAAACCAGGGGAAAGTGCGGGAAAAGTGCCGCGATGCCAATGTGGCCCAACAGCCTGTTGTCGTCATAGACTTGACTCTTCCCCCGGTCGGCTCCGCAATCTGCATGTCAAAGCTGTCCATGCTGTCTTCTTCCCCCAGCACGACCGACCGGGAACAAGGTTTCGCTGACGGACCCCCCTGGCAAAAGCCGCATCGTGCAAACCCAAAGCTTCGTTGGCTGCGGCGCATTCACGGTCGGCACATCGGTGGTCAGCAAAGAGGTACACTATTGAGAAGAAGCACATAACCCTTGCAAGCTCGCTGCCCGCCGCGCCCTTGACAAATCCGACTATCCGTCTGCCCGTCGCCCGGCGCCGCCGCAAGGACCCTCGCCGACGAACCGAACGTCTCCCCCTTCGACGTCCCGGCATCCCGGGCGGCGGGGTTGAAGAGGAGGAGAACCGGGATGCCGCCTCTTCGGCAATCCACACGCGTTGTACTCCGTAATTCACTGCTACTTTTGCTCCACAGGCGGCGTGTCTCTTGTCCCGCGTGGGCCCAGAGACCCCCCCAATATATCGCCCGCCGTGGCATTGGCATGGCCAACCACACAATGCGACTCGGGCACTCGTCTCGTCGCCATGCCGCAGTTGAGTTTAGCTGCATGATTCCAAAAGAAGACCGAGTGTTGCGTTGCATTGCGCGCGCACCCCCGCTCCCGCAGCGGGCAGACGAAGTCTCCGAAGTGAGTGTGGTGTGTGTGTCCCTGGCAGGAGAGCGCGGCATCGCAAGGCACACGTCGTGGTGCCTGGCGGAGATTATCAAGCACGCCCTTGGGGGCGCTCTCTTCACACATTGCGCCCGTTTCACATATGCTCGTCCGTGAACCTGATGGACAGAATACAGCTGAACGCTAGAGTGAGAAGTGATTCCATCTCAATGCCGGACATGCCGCGGCCAGGCGCCGCCTGAACCGGCAATTCAGCACTCAAACGCCGCCGCATCTATCATGCCGCGCGCGCTCCAGTCATGACTTGCATCATCACGACGTGGATGCCCGCCGCCGCCCCGCCATCTAGAGTGGCTCCCACCCCATCGCTCCAGTCCCCCGGCTAGGCCAGCAGGTTCGCTCAGTTGACGCACAGCCATTCAACGCCGGGGGCTTGTGTGGATGGTCAGCCCACTCGGCCCTGGGGAGCAGGAGAGCCCGCTCGCGGCAGAAAGGGTGCTTGGCCCTGCGCACGTTTTGCGACGCCAGCGTGTGCCTGGGCTGCTGCGGAGGCGTTTCTCCAACGATGGAACCCATGCTGGCTGCAGGCTGTGGCGGATCGGGGCGCCACGGGATGCGATCACTGATCCGTGGAGAGGCTGCTGCTGCCCCCCCATTGCCATCCCATGCCATCCATCTCGCCAGCGTGCGGCCCGGCTCTGCCGTCTTCTGTTACTATTCCCCTTCCCACATGTTAACCTTGGACATTTATCCCATCTTCCGGCAGTCAGAATTTAAGAACCCCATCTTAAACGTGTCTCACTGTTCCTGGAAGTCTGTCTTTGGTAGTACATAGTAGCACGGCTCCCCCCCACACACGCTCAACGTTTCCCTCGACCGCGAAGAAGCGCGCTTACATCCAAGGACCACCCGCGCAACGCATCATCGCCCGCTCGTCAGTATGCCTGCCGTCAAGGAGCAGGTCCTCAGCCGCGTGCCCGTCATCGGCAGCAAGCTCGCCGGCTATGCTGCTGCCGCGCGCACCCAGCAGAGCGAGCCGACGGGCCGCAAGGCGGCGGGCCTCGACATCATCGACATACGCCGCGACAAGGTCGAGATAAACCTCAAGGACGAGCTCGCCGCGCTCTTCAACCCGACCGATGGGACTGGCTCCCGGGCGCTGCCTACGCTATTGCTATACGACGCCAAGGGGCTGCAGCTATTTGAAGATGTACGTATTCTATGCATGCCGATGCTTTCTGTCTCTACCGTGCCCATGGCCCATCCCCCCCACCCTCGGGAAAGTGAGAGCATTGAGTAAGAAGCTCTCCATCCCCTCCCCTTCCTTGGAACAATCTGCAAAAAAGAACAAGAAAAAAACTTGAGAAATATTCTTTGAATGGGCGGTCCAACTCATGCCTCGGATTGATGTCCGATCCAGATCACATATCTGGACGAGTACTACCTCACCAACTACGAAATCGAGCTGCTCAAGCGGTCGTCGGCCGAGCTCGCGAGCAAGATCCCGGCGGGGTCCATGGTGATTGAACTGGGGAGCGGGTTCGTCCTTTATTTCAACCCGGCTTGTGTGGCTGCGTCCCCTTGCCGTAGGCCCTTTGCTGTACGTGAAGAAGGCTGACCATTGCGTTTTCTCTGCGACGCGGCACAGCAACCTGCGCAAGGTGTGCCTCCTCCTGCAGGCGTTTGAGGACCAGGCCAAGCCTATCGACTACTACGCCCTCGACCTGTCGCAGAAGGAGCTCGAGCGCACCCTCGCACACGTGCCGGCTTTTCAGCACGTCTCCTGCCACGGCCTGCTGGGCACGTACGACGACGGCAAGGAGTGGCTGAAGCAGCAGGAGCTGCTGCGCCGCCCCAAGTGCATCCTCCATCTGGGATCGAGTATCGGTATGTTTTATCTCATCACCTATATGGATCTGTAGAATCTTGTTCAAGGGCCTGACAGACGATGTAGGAAACTTCAACCGTGAAGATGGCGCCGAGTTTCTGCAGGACTTTGCGGACCTGCTGCAGTCTGAAAACGACTATATGATTGTCGGGCTCGACTCTTGCGGCGACCCGGACAAGATCTAGTGAGTTCACACTACGCAGTAACGTGCTGATAACTTTTCTAAGACCACTCTATAGTCGCGCATATAACGGTTTGTTGCAACCCCCTTGATCCACCTGAGCTCTCACTTACACAGACTGCACGCAGACAGCAAAGGCATTACACACCAGTAAGAGCACTACAACCCATCCATATCTCAGTGATTCTCTTATCCACAGCACTCACAATACTTCAGGTTCATCCTCAACGGCCTCGCGCACGCCAATGAGATATACGGCGAACAGGTTTTCGACGTCGACGAGTGGACTGTCATCGGCGAGTACGTCTACGACGACCAGGGCGGTCGCCACCAGGCCTTTGTTGCTCCCGTCCGCGAGACCACCGTCCTCGGCTCCGTCGTCAAGGCCCGCGAGCGGGTCAAGATCGAGCAAAGCCTCAAGTACTCCAAGTTTGGCGCGGACACGCTCTGGAAGGCGGCCGGCCTCGTCGAGGAAGCTGTGTGGACGCGCAACGGCGAGTATGGTGAGTACTTACCGGGCAGAGGGTTTCATCATCATGAAATGATGAGTGAGGGCTGAGATACTGACGGGTGAGAAATGTAACAGGCCTCCACATGCTCAAGCGAGCAAAGCTCCCCTTCAGCCGCGTGCCCAGCATCTACGCCGCCAGGCCCCTCCCCTCCATGCAAGACTGGGAGGCCCTGTGGCAGGCCTGGGACGTCGTCACGCGGGGCATGCTCCCCGAGCAGGAGCTCAACGAGAAGCCCATCAAGCTGCGCAACGCCTGCATCTTCTACCTGGGCCACATCCCGACCTTCCTCGACATCCAGCTGGCCAAGACGACGGGCGAGCCGCACACCGAGCCCGCCAGCTTCGTCTCCATCTTCGAGCGCGGCATCGACCCGGACGTCGACAACCCGGAGAAGTGCCACGACCACTCGGCCATCCCGGACGAGTGGCCGCCCGCCGCGGAGATTATTGCGTATCAGGACCGCGTGCGGGATCGCCTGCGTCGATTGTATGCGCAGGGGCCGGATGCGATTCCTCGTGGGGTGGGACGCGGCGTGTGGGTGGGCTTTGAGCATGAGCTCATGCACATTGAGACGCTGCTATATATGATGCTGCAGAGCGATCGCACGTTGCCGCCGCCGCATGCCGCGACGCCCGACTTTGAGATGATGGCCAAGAAGGCGTTTGAGGCGCGTGTTGCCAATGAGTGGTTCGATGTGCCCGCGCAGACCATCACGATTGGCATGGACGACCCCGAGGATGGCACTGACACGTCTCGCTACTATGGCTGGTAAGCTTTCTCAACGGCCTTGCTCGTATCATGGACGATGTAAGACGCGGAATCTGACTGGATTATACTAGGGACAACGAGAAGCCCGCTCGAAAGGAGGCTGTCCATGCCTTCCAAGCCAAGGGTCGTCCCATCACCAACGAAGAGGTGCGCCCCTCGACCATTGCC